CTGTGTCTGCATAACTAAGTTACTTATGCAAAAAAGGCAACATTGTACAGATAGCACCCATCTTAATATGTGTGAAAGTCAACACTATAATATGTGTTTATGATACTTAGTAATTTGAGAGAGTAAAATTTTAAATCAGTTTCAGTATAGATTAATATAAAACCCAGAATACAACTATAAAATGCAAAACATAATTGCACAGCAGTCTATATGAGTACAGGGCATTACWATGCAATACAGATTACAAAAACTGTAACTAAACTATCTAACTACTGCTCTAACCACTACCCTCACAACTACCTCTAACTAGTATCCCTAACAATTACCCCTAGAACACCTAGTAACCCAGTGTCTCAAGGTCAGTTTAAGGGTGGCATCTGGGATTCCAAGGCCAGTCAGAGCCATAGBTCCTGGCAGCTTTCATTCAGGACCAGTCTTTGGAAGTTTGTAATTTTAGGAGATGGAATCCCTCTCTCAGCCACAGCTGCCTGGCTTTGAAATACAAGTGTTTTCCTTAGGAAGGAAAACCCTGTGCCCCAGTGTTTCAAAAGCATCCTAAACATGGCCCGTGGGAGTCCAAGGCCCTGCAGACCCATCGGTCCTGGCAACTTTCTTCTGGGAGCAATCCTGGTGTGGGTGTGGAGCTGCCTGGAATAGCCTGTGGCATCCAAAAGAGAAGGGACATGAAGCAGGATGGTCCAGGTAGCTCAGGGTGAGAGGGGCAGCCTGGCCCTGGTGCTGTGCACACCAATGGGAGCAGCTGGGCTGCCCCATCTAGGGGTGTGAAAGGCTCTTCAAGCCTCCTGTCGAATGTTTTCCTTTGATTCATCAGCTATAATTCCTTCTGAAGACATGCTTTTCTCGTGGCTTCCCTCATGTAATTCAGCTGTTCTCATCTGGGAGCTGGCCTCCAGACAGCCTTGCCAGGGCTGTTTCAGGGAGTGCAGCCTTTCCTTCCACTCAGGTATCCCACTGCACAAAACCCTGTTGACTCCCTCTTCCTTGACCCTTTTCTTTGTGTTCTTTGTGTTCCCAGGGTACTTTTCTCACAGTTTCTAAGAAGATGGCTTCAATGAGACACAAACATCAGCCCCTCATATTTTGTGCYGGGGGACAAGCCTGAGCTCTTGCTGGATTACRCAAACYGCTGGTATTGCCATCATTTGATGGGACTCTTGTTTCCCATTCCCAGTTCAGTGGTATTTTGCCCTGACCAGGGCTGAGCACAGATTGGGGCTGGTTTGTGTTGCCAAAATCTTGAGTTGTCAGAAATGTGATGCATGAAGATGAAATGCAGCTTTTAGGATCTGACAAGGGGTTTCTTTTCACATGAAACAAGTAAAGGAGTTTCCTCTGATGCTGAGGCAGAGGGGGAAGAACCTAGGAGCTGCTGATTAATGGGGAAATAAAACTCAAGTGGGCTGGCGGCTGTCAGCAAACTCTTGGACCTTTTCCTGAGGGATGGAACTTTTCAGGCTGATTCAGAGCTGCTGTTCCCCACAGTACCTCACTTGAGCACCCTGCCGGCAAAACCAGTTGCTCTGAACTGCCTGACTCAGTTCTCCTTCTTGCCTACACTAGTTTTCCTTCTCTGCCTACTCATTCTTTCTTTCTCCTCTTGGCTCCCTCCCCTCTGGATTTCAGCAGCGGGATCTAGGATTTACAGTCTGTCCCTTCCCACACCTCCTTCCTGGCAATGCTTTTTCCTTGTGCCTTTGCCGAGAGGGACATCTAGTGGAGCTCAGGGGTTGGAGGTCAGTGGTGGTTTTTTGTATTTGAATTTATTTATAATCCTTAAGAAGGAGCAAGAAYTGAGGTTTCACATGGTCCTGGTGGCCTGGTGGCACCTGGTGGACCTTCGGTGGCCAGTTCATGGGATGTTTCTCTCTTTGTACTCAGACATAGGGAAGTGACTGTGGAATGGGGYTTTTGTGGGGAGAATGTTGCTGTGGTGGGTGACACTGTGCTCACTAAAGCAAAACCTGCCTGAACACACTTCTCTGTGGATTTGGCTGCTCAGAGTCCACAYTTCTGTTTGTAAAATCATCTCCTGTCCTCTCCTTGCTTGGCATGTGGACACGAGGGAGAGAGAGTAAACTGGATCTGGTGTTCAGGTGATAGAACAGCCACTGCAGCTCCCCTGGGTGCAGGTGCTGGGGGGCCCAGCTGCTGGACTATTCTCATGAACTGTTTCATCCTTTTGCATCCTGTTATTCCAGTCACCTTTTGGGGACCATAGTCCATAACAACTCAAGTTTAGGAAAGCTTTTAGTGAGCCAAGTGTACTTAACTGGAAACTGGAACACTGTGGAATGAAAACTTTAGTACTTTTACTTGCCCAGTGCTATGAAAGTGCTGCAGATGCTACCTGGGCAAGAGAATGTTCACAGTAAATGTTYCTTTTTGTATTGATGCAGCATTATGTAAACACAGATATAAGAATGTTCTTTAACTCTGCAGAGAGAACTGAGGCAAAGCCCATCCTCCTATGAGCCCTCACAGCTGAGGATTTCTCCCCAAGCTCTGCATGTTTCTCCACTACAGCGGAGCTGCCGTGCATGGGAGCACAGCAGTGTTTTACTGGGAGAGGCTCAGCTTCCCCCTTAGCACTGGGGGTCTGTGCTGCAGCTCTTTCTCAGGAACATTTGCACAGAAGCTCAGGAAGAGCCACACAGCCACAGTATTAGAAAATACCCCAGTTTATTKCAGCATCTCAGTTCAGAGAGTTTTACAAAACAATGTATTTACAGGTGAGGAAGGGAGTAACTCAGCTGGAGTGTGCTTTGCWGGGGAAGGAACAGGCTACAGAGGAGAAAGGAAGATAATCAGCACATTCACAAGTCACATTTTTCTTTACAAAAATAAGAAGGGTGTAAGGCTGGTGTGCACAGATGACTGGTGTTGTCCTTGTGGGGAGCACTCCAGGAAGGATTCAGTGCAGCCCTTGTGCTCTTCACAGCGACTCCAGGCATCTCAGGCTTAGCAGAAGCTGCATCAGCTCAGCTCAGCACGATGTTAAGGTACAGT